AGGAACCGCTTCTTTATGCAAAGAGTTGTAGGTGTCAAGAAGAAATCGCTAAATCTGCTCAAGGCAGCAATCCTTCATGTAACAGCTGGGTGAGATTCTGGAACCAGATGAGCAAGACGAGCTGAATTGTATCCTGTCATATCTAATCTTTTGTGTGATTCTAAGAGATTTGTAAAAGTGATGCTGTAGTATGACTTTGGGTCCTTTTCTTATTTAAAGCAAAGACCCCAGAAAGACCTCTGTAGAGGGGACTTTAAGGTCAAAGGTGCAGGACTCCCCCAGCTTCCTCCTCTGAACCCCATGTTATTTTTTCTTTCATTCATCTTTTTCACTTGTTCACACCCTTGATTCTGACCACACGCCTTCCCTCCTGCCTCCTGTATTGACTCACCCTTCTACTTCTCTCTCTCTCTCTTTCTCTCCATGTTTATTTCCTTCTCCCCTTACTGCTTATTCGGCCTGTGTCATTCATGTTTTCTCTCTGCCTCTTCCTCCCCTCACATTTAATGCCCTCTCTCTCTCTCTCTTTCCCACAGTGTCCCCCCCAGTACCCTCTCTCCTCCTCAGTGCCCTCTCTCAATGCCTTCTCTCTCTCAGTGCCCTCTCTCTCTCTCTCTTTCTCTTTCCCTCTCTCTCTCTGCAGGCTCTGCTCTGGGGCCGGATGAAGCACAGCCTGTGGAAGTGCAAATGGGCTATTCGGTTTCGGCTTGATGACGCCACTTAGCCATTAACTATCTCCAGCAAATTTATAACCCCAAACCACCCCCCTCCCTCCACCCTCTTCCACACCATTCACTTCCACACATCCCTCCCGATCACTCTCTCTCTCTCTCACACACACACACACTCACACACAGAAACACATCCCACTCGCCCTCTCTCTCTCTCCACTGGATTTTAAACAGACCTCGGAGAATGAGGAGATAAACACATACCCAGGAAGCGCTGACCAGGGACAGGGAGAGACCATCCAGCACTCACACTCCCAGCCTTCACTGAGCGAGGAAACAACACAGGAGAAGCTCCAGTCCTACAGCAGTGGCCTTTGCCGATCTCTCCAGCTTATTCTCCACTTTATTGTGACTATTCCTGGGAGACAGAGCAGCAGCGATGCTACTTTTTTAAACAGGACTGTTTCCCGCAGGAGAGACTTTTCTTTTCTGGTTGCTGCTTTTGTTTTTGTTTTTTTGCTCTCGCCCTCATCCACGTTTAAAAATCAATCTGCGGATTTTGCAGGTTTGTCCCGCGTCCCTTCCCTGTGATCTGACGAACGCCGACCTCCCCGCCCGGACTGACCCCCCTCTCCCCCGCCCCGGTGCCCGCCGCTCCGGGGGGTTTTGCATGCGGAATGGGCTTTTGAATGCTGCCCCGGGGGCGAGAGAGAGGGCTGCTGCCAGGAGGTTGCCGAAGGGGCCGGGTGACTCAAGGTGAAACCAGAGGGACGTTTTCTCTCTCTCTCTCCGCACGCCGTCCAGGCTTCGGTGCAGCACATGGAGCTCCTGAGATACAGAGGTAAGCAGGACCTCGGAAAATCCGAGCCGGCCGCGGGCGGTCGTGCCCTGCCTCTCGACCGGGCGTTCGGCTGGCGACCTGGTAAACGTGCCCGGCTTGCCTCTCCCAGCAGGGCTTTTCCCACGGTGTTCCTGTCGCTTCCGGGCATGTTACTGGGCTCTTATCGGGGTGTCCTTAGGGGAGGGCTTGGCCCGCGGAAGAGGGGGCGCAGTGGGTGGGAGGAGGGGGAGGCTGGGGTTCAGGGAAACCGAGAAACATGGATGGCACATAGACCTACCCCCTCAACCCCAGCGAAGAGGGGTACCAAACTGCCCGGCTGGAGCCAGATCTCGGATTTGCGATCTCGGAACAGTGCGAAGACGATGCTTGTCGGGAATCCTGCGTCCAGGCGGTCATGCTGAAGCTCTGACTCCCCCCCACTCAAAAAAATATCAGGAAGCACTGCCGTGCTGTGAGAGTTTAAAAGCAAGGAGTATTAATAATCCTTCTAATTGTCACTGCTAGATCCGTGCTAAACTGAAACTTCATTGTTGGGAACTGTGTGCATTAGGACCTGCCCAGCACCTCGGGGCTGCCACCCAGGGAAACTCAGCTAACTTCAGAGGCATGCTCTTCCTCATCAGGGGCACGGCTTCCATCAGCTCTGTGTTCGAGGGTGACCGCAGGCCAGGGTGCTCCCTCTCCCCCCCCCTGCTCTCCTTGTGCCCTCCTTTTCTCCCATCCCTCTCCCCCGATTCCCTGCCCGTCCTCTCCCTCCGTCTCGTTTTTCCTGTCCGATTTCGCTGCCCGGCGCCTCTCTCTCCTAGGAGTCTCTCCTGATCCACCGCTGTCGGCTCTCCCTCTCCCTCCCTTCTCAGCTCCGGTTCTCTCCCTCTCTGTCCCGGACTCTTTCTCCCTTGCTTGCAGTATCTATTTCAGTCCATCCTGAGGGTCGGATTCTGCACATCCGGAATCTCATACAATTTCTTGTCATTCAATCCCCCCATGTTCCCAGCAGTGCCGGGGAGGGCAGTGCTGGGTCCCGCTGCCTGTCAGGTTAGCGTCCTGGGCGAGGAGACTGCCTGCCTGGGGTATTCTGACTGCCCTGCTTGCCCTTCTGCCCCTGGCCCCCCCTCTGTCCCCCTGAGAGCCCTGCCTGTTCCCCCCACTCCGTGCCCCACATGCCTCCTTGCCCACATTCCCTAGATCCCCTGACGATCGTAATTCCAGGGAATTTTTGACCGTTCCCCCAGCTCAAGGGCCACTCTCTGACCTAGGAATTGTGCAGCTAGGAGGTCCCTGTCCCAATCAGGACCGAGCAGGGACTAACAGTGGGAAAGACAGGGCAGGGTTCAGGGACAGGCTGTGGACGGGCACTGCGTCGGCCCAGACCAGGGTGCGAGGGAGTCGGGTGATGAGATGCCTCGCCCCCCTCCCCTTTGCCAGCTCACAGTGCCCGCCGGTCTGCTGAGGGAAGAGCCAGATTCCCGCGCGGAGCCGCAGGGCTACGGACTGGCAGCAGCAGCTTGGGGGCGGGCTGGCACAGCGCCCACCGACTTGACGGCTCAGGAGGTGCCATCGCCGGGGCACTTGAAATGAAACCACTGGAGGGGACCAGCCAGCGGCAGACGGTGGCTCTCCTACTTGGGAAGGCTCCTGCTCGGTCTGGGCTTCGGGGCTGGCAGGGCTGAAGCCGGGTCTGGTCCAAGAGCCCGCCGTCCGCCCGGCTCTGCCCAACGGAACGTCTCACCGACCCTCAGTAAGACCGGAGTGGCGTCGCTCTCTTCTTGAGTGTTTTATTTCTTTGGACCGATGTGGCGTTCTCAGGTCCTGTTTGTCCGATTCCCCCCCGGGCAGGGCTGCGTTCCCACGGTTAGGAATAACCCGGGCCGCCTGTTCTGCTCCTGGAAGGGATGGAGTTTCTGTGCCAGGGGTGTCTGTGGGGGGGCAGCGCCACCACCAGCAGCTCCGGCTGGGGACCTGCCGTCTTCCCTCGGGATTTCGCTCTTGGCTTGCCTGTTCCAAAGCTGTTGCGAAAACGTTGGGATCTTAATTAATAATTAGCGGAAGTTCAAGTTCCTTTCCCGGAAAGTAGTTTGGGGGTGTTGCAAAGCGAACCCTCCTGGCCTCTGATTTCTACCGATTTATCTGGCTGACTGGTGAAACGGTAACGAGTGGGCAGGCAGTGTAAACTGCAGGGCGAAGGCGGCGGCGGCGGCGGAAGTGGAGAACGGCACGGGCAGTGAGATGGGGTAGACGCGACGCGCGCGGTGCGTGGCGCTCCCCACGCGTGGACCGGGGGCGCCCCTCGAACGCCCGCGGGCAAGAGTCGCGGCGCTGCCGAGTCTCGCCCGCCCGCAGCCCCGGTAGGGACAGCCCCTCGTACCGCAGAGTCCCTGCAAGGCGAAGCGGGCAGGTTTGGGAGGACCAGCGTGCCGGGCAGACGGAGGAACGCGTTCTCAGGGCGGAGGGTTCTGGGAAGGAAGCAGATTTGTGAAGCCGGAGAGCGGACTATAAACACGCACAGCGCGGTGGGGGGACTCTCAGAAACAGAAAAGGGCCTTTCCTCAAGCACAGACGCCCGGGCGTTCATTTCGGCTCCCGGGTGCTCCTCCCGATTTGACTGGCAGCGCCGGCTGCCCTCTGCCGGGGTGCATAGCGAGCGTGCGCCGATGTCTGGGAGTCTGGCCCCGATCAGAGTGCATTTATTGATCCTCTCCCCCCCCCCGCCCCGGCTGGAGCAGTGGACGCGCTCCAGAGCCGCTGTGCAGCGGGACTGGCCGTCGAGCGCGGCCACTTTTCAGCTCACTTTACAGCCCTGCTGCTGCGCTAATGGAGGGCGAAAGGGAGCCGCTTTCACTAGAGGAGGGTGCCAGCTCTGGGTGATGCGACGGTGCTTCCCAGAGACCACAGCCCCAGCCGATAATCCGTTACTGTCTCCTGTAATCAAAGCGGCTGCTGTACTCCGCCTGCGTCCGTCTGCCGGCTCGGGTTGTGCCGCGGAGCCCCTTTGCCATGCCTGAAATGACGGTAATTAATCAGCCTTCAGACAACTGGGTGCCTCCACCTTTTAGCGACTGTCCCGGCGCAGTCTGACTTCGCGCAGGGCAGGAACCCGACAACCACACGACGTGTTCCTGTCAAGGATTTGCTGAGTCACGTTATGATCTGCCACTGGGGTTTTTTTTTCCCCCTCCTCCTCCGCCCGTCTTTACTGCTTTATCAATTCAAATCTTCACCGAATTCTTCAACCACATTAAGCACATAAGACCAGTAACTGCTTCCGTAGGGCAGCTTTCAGGTTTTACAGCACACGACGATCTCCTCGTTTCCCGCGGTGGGAGGGAAGACCTTATTTCAGATCGGTGAACTCGCTCGGCGGTATATTTTCAGAAGCCGGGAGCGACCTAGCCATCCCGACCTTGATCTGCAGCCGTGCCTCTGCGTGGACTTCCGTTTCCCCTGAAGCCGGGTCCAGCGCTGCCCTGTCTGATCTCCCGGACTTGGGCATGGCGGTGCGCGGCTGGGGGGCGACCCTTCTCCGCAGACGGCGCGGCTGCACAGTGTCCCTGACGCTTCGCCTGCGCTCCCGCTATCGTCCTGTGCCTGGAATTTATCCCACGGACACTTCAGTTTCAGAAAACAACCCCCCTGGTGCTGAGCAGCCTCTCTGCATGCTGGATAAAGTACAGTCTCTGTCTGTGCTTCAGCCATGCGATTACAAGACTCCCCCCTCACAGGAACAGTAATGAATGAGAATCCCTGAGCTTGAAATACTCAGACCCCACTCTGCTGAATGGAGCACTTTTTTCCCCGGAACATTTCTTGATAGCAATGATGGCCACCCCAGCTACATTTCGCACTAGGGCTGTTTCCCTTGCTTGTCCCAAAGCCAAAGCAACGAGCCTCCATCACTGCTGGGGTTTTTCCTCGTGTGGAGTAATACTTGTTATTAACTAAGGACATGTTCGGAGGGGATGAGCTTGTACAGAGCAGCTCATGCGAACTGGGTCCCCTTATTGCTCAGAGCAGATTCAAAAGGAGACTGGATTCTGCCAGGAGGCCACATTGCTGTAGTTCATGAGGGAAAACAGCATCCAAGAGCTGAGGGCCCTGTGATGCCTGGAATGCTGGGTGAGACAGGTTTGGCTTGACAAGCCTGGTTAATGGCCAGCCTCCTGGCCTCAGGGCGTGCAGGCTCGAACCCCCGTTCACACAGGGTGGCCCCAGGGGCAGCAGCAAGGTGGAGACGGGGTGGAGGAGAGAAGAGAGAGGTGTTTGAGCTCAGGTTATGCAGCTGGTTTCGGCATGGTGGCGCTTAGGAACAGCTGAGGGAGATTGACTCGTCGTCATTGTGTAGGGTGTTGTGTACGGGGTTGTTGTGTACAGATGTGTATCGTGTTGTGTCCAGGGGTGTGTAGCGTTGTGTACAGGGGTGTAGAG